GATCAAGGGAGAGATGTAAACACAGTAATAAGCATATATAGATGGTATTTAAAGTAATCTAGGGAACTGAGTGAGATCACTTAGGGAGAAAGTGTAAATAAAGAAAACAAGCTCGTCAGGCTCTGAGCTTTGCTTGAGTTGCTTGTAGTTGAGCTGAGGAAGATCTAGCAGAGCTGACTAAGAAAGAAAAGCTAGTTATGCAGGAAGAAAATAAGGAAAAGTATGATACCCTGTAGTAAAGTCATTGAAGAGTAATGGATTGGTCTACTCAGTTAAGCTACTGAGGTCCAGTTGCTCACCACAGGATCCTATGAATACATGAAGGCACTGTGAATTCTTAAAAAGAAATATATCATATAAACACAAAGTTCTAGTTTAAAAAATAATAACCCTCCCCCACCTCCATTTTTAAGGGAAATATGCTCAAAAAAGAAAACCTAGAAAATACAGGAGTAGAAAGAGGGGAAAAACCTACCCTGATAAATATCTCATTAACACTTTATATAATTTTCCTTGAAATATTGTTTCACTTATAGGGGTTTTCTTTTTTAAATAGTCTAATTATATGGTATATGTCATTTTATACCTGCTTTTTTCATTTTCTCATGTTCAATACCATTTTGTAATATAGTTTAATGATGACATAATAATAAGTTACCAATTACTGATTGCTTATGATCAGGCAGACACTGCATTGGGACTGTATAAATGTATGATACCCTATAGTAAAGTGCATTTAACCTTCACAACCCCTCACTAGGCAATTCCTATATTATCTCAAATTTACAGACAAAAAGATTAAGTAACTTGCCCAAGGTAAAATCAAGATTTGAGTTTCTGTGTTCTAAACCACATATTGCCTCGATGACAGTATTTACTTAATTCTGTATTGTTAGAAGTTAGGTTGTCCAACTTTTTAGGAGACTGATTGTGGTGGCGCAGTGCCATATTTGTAAGCATCTTCAAACATAAAGAATTAACAATTACTTCCTCAGAATAGATTCTTAGACACAGAACTACCACATCAAATAAGTATTTTTAATATTTCTGATAACTATTGTCAAATTGCTTTCCAAAATCTTTTGCTCAATATATTTTACCACAAAAAGAACACTTTGAACATCTATTTTGATCTAAAACACAGGTGTAGAAAAAGACTGGGGACGGGGAAATATGAGGACTGTGAAAACAGTCAGTGGCCACCAGAGGGCAACAGTATCACAGTATTGTTGATTCCAATTTCCTTTGCGACAAAGGAAAAACCGGTTTTACATAAAGCTCGCAGTTTTAAATCAAGTATTTGCACTTCTCATGTTGGATTCCATTTTTATTATATTTCCAAACAGAGAAACCATTTCTTTCTCTAGCTACTAGCTGCTTTAAAGAAATCATAACCATGAAAAAAATGTTGCCTTTTTAAATTATCTCAAGCAAGGACAGATCAACATTTACTGGACAATAAAGAGAGATTATTTACTGCTGTAAGAAAGATTAAAGGTGAGAACCAGAAATGTAGAATGCTTTCTAGTCCTGTAAAAGATCTATGGTGTAATTTAAATTGACTCAATATGATGAAGCATTCCTATTATTACTCAGTTTTGAAAATCATCTTTCCTCTGTATGTTTTTCCATTCATTTCTTCAACAAACATTTAGTGAGTACTTATGTGCCAAGCTACTTGATAGAGATGGTGTATACTCAACTGAGAGCATTCCTGCTCTCATGAAACTTACAATGTAAGCCATATGTGACTCATAACCATAAATAAATATATAATTACAAACTGATAAGTGTTATGAAAAAATACAAGCATATGTGAGAGCAAAAGTCAGGGGAATTGCCATTTAGCCTAGAGCATCAGAAATGCTTTCTAATGAAGTGACTTTTTTTTTTTTTGAGATAGACCTTCAAGCTATTGCCCTGGGTACAGTGAAGTGGCATCACAGCTCACAGCAACTTCAAACTCCTGGGCTTAAGCAATTCTCTTGCCTCAGCCTCCCAAGTAGCTGGGACTACAGGTGCCTGCCACAATGCCTGGCTGTTTTTTGGTTGTGGTTATCATTATTTGGGAGGCCTGGGCCAGATTCAAACCCGCCAGCTCTGGTGTATGTGGCTAGCGCCTTAGCCACTTGAGCTACAGGCACCACCCTAATGAAGTGACCTTTAACTAAAGATCAGAAGGAAGAATATGATTTTAAAAGGCAAAAGGGACAAGAGTGGGGGTACAAGTGGATTAGAAAGAGCATTCTAGGCAGAGAAAAAATCATGCATGAGAATCCTGGGACAAAGGAATATAGCTTATTTTAGAAATTAAAGCCAGTATGACTGGATCACAGATGTAAAGGGAAAAAAATAGCACAAGATAAAACTGGCAAGTAGGCAGGGACCAGATCACATAAAAGTAAAAATAACACAATTTCTTCTAAATCAATTTGTTTCTCTACAGAATAAAGGATTAGAATAAAGAATAAGCTTTCAATACAGATTTTCCAGGGTACTTTCAATTTTAAATATTCTGCTACCCTGTCCTCATAAAAAACACTTGTACTTGTCAGACTAGGTATGTCCTGATTTTTTGATTGTGGCAAAAAAAAAAAAAAAAAAAAAAAAAGTTTCCAAGGAAGTATCCCTAATCCTCACATTTAGAAGTACTGAAGATTACAAGTTAATTAACTTTCGTTCTTAATAGTCCGCCTAAATACGGTTTTCTTTGGTTTTATACTGTTGGGTTTTCCTAATGGTAGGATAATGTCTTTCAACAATTTAGGAAATTGTTGGCCATTATCTCTTCAGATATTGCTCTGACCCAATATCTCTTTCCTCTCTTTCTGTATCTCAAATTACATTTACTGGTTTTTTGTTTGTTTGTTTTAAAGAGACAGAGTCTCACTCTGTTGTCCAGGCTGGAGTACAGTAAGGTTATTATAGCTCACAGCAGTCTCAAACTCGTGCGTTTAAGCAATACTCCCACCTGAACTTCCTGAGTAGCGGGGACTACAGATGCAGGCCCCCACACCTGACTAGTTTGTTTCTTTTTTGTAGAGAAAGGGTCTTGCTATGTTGCCCAACCTGGTCTTGAACATCTGGCCTGAAGTAATCCTCCCACCTCAACATTCCAAAGTGTCTGGGTTATAGGCTTGAGCCACTGCTCCTATCCAAATTATATTTTTGTAGATCTTTTAAATGTATCTCACATGTCTTTCCTGGTCTGTCTTTTCATTGCATTTTCTCTAAATGCTTTAGTTTGGGTATTTTTAACTATGCTATGTTTGAGTCTACTAATTTTGTCTTCACTGTGTACAATCTGCTGACATATCCATGCAATGAGTTATTAATTCAAATAAATGCTGTATTTCTCAGTGTTAGATTGTTCATTTGATTTTAAAATTCGAACTCTTTGAAATTTTGCCATTTTAAACCTATTATTGTCTGATTTTTCCTATATTTTCTTCAAATATAAATTTTAGTTATCTTAAAATCTTTGTATGCTAACTCTACCATCTGGATCATGTGTGGATCTGTTTCTGTTTTTCTCTTTATTATTAGTCAGATTTTCCTGTCTCTGCATCATCTAGTATTTTTTACCATATACCAGACATGGTATATATATGTGTATAAAAGTACTGGGGGGGGGGCGGTGCCTGTGGATCAGTGGGTAGGGTGCCGACCCCATATCCTGAGGGTGGCAGGTTCAAATCCGGCCCCAGCTAAACTGCAACAAAACAGCCAGGCGTTGTGGCGGGCAACTGTAGTTCCAACTATTCGGGAGGCTGAGGCATGAGAATCGCTTAAGCCCAGGAGTTGGAGGTTGCTATGAGCTGTGTGATACCATGGCACTCTACCGAGGGCAATAAAATGAAATAGTGAGACTCTGTCTCTACAAAAAAAAAAGTACCAGAGAGGGCTCCCCCTTTCTTCTGTTAGGTAGGTAGATGTAATGAAAGGATCACCTCAATCTAATCAGAAATTAAGGTGCATTGAGGATGGACCACAATTTTAATAAGTTCACCTTTGGTTCATCACTATTTCTTGGTCATAGCCCTCTAAGGCTTTTGAGAGCCTAGCAAACCTGTGTCTCCCCAGCTTTAAAACCCTGTAAGAGATTCAGTATTGGCCCGGGGTGGTTTGAGCCTAGGTCCCACTCTACATCTTCAGAATCTGGCAATATCTTGAGAAAGAGATGGTTGCACGTTGTAGCAGGCCCCTGTCTCTAAAGAAGTTTTGTCTCCTCAGCATGAGACTAAAAGATATTTCTTTCTACCTTTCTGGTCCAGCTTTCTATCTCCTGCAAAGTCGGCTAATGTCCTGTGGGAAAACTGACCTTGTGCTCAGGGCTCCTCTAGTTTCCAACCATCATGCAAGCCTCAGATGACTGCCAAATCTCTTCCTGTATCTCTTTTCTCAAGAAGAATTCCTTTGCTTGGGCCAAGTCTGCTCCTTAGTCTGTGCCCAGAATCAGCAAATGGCCTCTCAAAAGGAAATGGGCTGGTGATTATGAGCTTATCTAGGAAGAGTTCTACCCTTCCTGGTACTTTAGTCCATATATTTCTCCTTGCTTCCATACATCTCCAGCCAATGTGATTTTCTGAATGTATATACTTTCTCCCCTGCTTCTTTCTCTCCTTTTGTTTTAGAGATAGGATCTCATTTTGCCACCCAGGCTAAGGGGCAGTGACCTGATCATAGCTTATATGACCTAAGTTAAAGTGATCCTTCTACCTCAAGATCCTAAGTAGCTAGTACTACAGGCATACACCACCATGCCCAGCTAATTGTTTGTTTGAGGGTTTTTTGTAGACACAGGGTCTCGCTATATTTCCCAGGATTGTATATTTTTTTCAAGTTGCAGTAAGAGTTTGGCTTGTAGTGATCTTATACATTCTACTTAGAAGAGAAAGGCCCTTATAAACTATTTGGGATGAATCAAACTATCAGTGAAAAATTTCTAAATGAAAAGAATAGTGAAATAATTACATAATACACTTAAGTAAAGTACGTACCTGTGAGGGCATCACAACTGGTGGACCGATTATTGCACTGGCAGGGAAAGCAGCCGTTCTTGCTAAAGCCGTAATATCCATTGTGGCATTGGTCACATGAAGAGCCAATGACCCCCACTTTGCACTGGCATTTCCCAGAACTGCAAATAAATGAAAAGACAATCAACAAAAGTAAACTAGTTTAGAGGTTGTATTGCCTAGCATCCCTGAAGGGAAAGAAAGCGAAGCTCCTGTACATAGTATATACTTACCATACCTCAAAGTCTTATATCCTAAGAAATCACCTGTCAATTTCTATATTCCTATTTAAGCTGTCTATTGTATTACACTATATAATTTCTTACCTAAGAAATAATTTTATAGAAAATGTAAAATGATGGCATCTGAAAGCAGGATTAATAATAAAGATGATGATAATAATAAAAACAATGAACCACTATTTATTGAGGGCCAGTGCCAATAAATATACATTTTCTCTAATCTCCAAGATATTTTTACTAGGTGGAGGTCATAATCCTCATTTTACTATTGAGAGAATTCAGAGAGGTTAAAGTTATTCTCTATAGTTAGCAAGTTAGGTAAATTTATACAAAGCCAAACTCTTCCCACTATATTATGCTATTATCCCTAAGGTTAACCCTAAATTTGTATAAAAAATTAGTCTTCCAAATAACTTGATATCCACTTAGGTATCAAGGTTTATTCTATAGATCCCAAGCACCACAACTGACCATCTATGTAAGTTCTGACTCCACTGATGCTGTTTCTGCCTCATCCAGAGTAAATCTCAGTTTCTTTTTCTCACTACCTGAAAATAAATTTCAGGTCTCCCTAAGAGAAGCTGAAATATTTTACTGCTTGAAGAGAAGATTAAGCCTAACAAATTCCAAGGCTCTCAGAGATACAAGTCCAAATATTCTGATGTTTAGTTCAAGCTTAATTAAAATTTATACTGATCATCATATGGAAGATGAGCATTGTTTTTAAAAGAAACAACAGAATTTTTAATTATCAAGCATGTCTTTTAAGTTATTTTGCAAAAAAGAAAATAAACTCCACACACACACACATATATATACATACACAGCTTTACACAAGAATATCCCAAGGTTGGCTCGGTGCCTATAGTTCAGTGACGAAGGTGCCAGTCACATACACCAGAGCTCATGGGTTCAAACCCAGCCTGGGCCTGGTGAACAACAATGACAACTACAACCCAAAATAGCCAGGCATTGTGGCAGGTGCCTGTAGTCTCAGCTACTTGGGAGGCTGAGGCAAGAGAATCGCTTAAGCGCAGAGAGTTTGAGGTTGCTGTGAGCTGCGACGCCATAGCACTTTACTGTGGGTGACATAGTGAGACTCTCCTCAAAAAAAAAAAATAATCCCAAGGTACTTAAAGATCTAGCAAAGAAAATCTATATTCATCAAAAATGAATTTGAGGAATTTCTTGTGACTCAATAAGAAGGAACCAGTCAATTTAAGACCCTCTATACCAATGATTTTCAAATGGTGTGCCGTGGCACCCTGGTGTGCCACAAGAGGATCTTGGGTGTCCCCCCCAATTTTTAAAGATCAATTAAATTATTTTTGAAAGAAGTTCAAAGCACAATAAATATATTCTTTTTTTTACTCTTTTTTTGGTCAACATAATTCAAGTGTGCCATGCAAGTTTAACTACAGGTTCAAGTGTGCCGTGAGATTTAAAAAAAGGTTGAAAAACACTGCTCTATATTATAAGAAAATTATAAAGGACATAATGTACCTTTCAAAGAATGGATAACAATACTTCATTGGCCAATTTCCAAGGTTTTAAAAATGTTAATCAATATCCTTTTTTGTCTTCCTGTAAATACATTAGATTATTCAGTATACAAAAGGATTAATAGTTACTTTTAAGAGTGGTATTTGCCTAACCCACAACCTATAAGAAAAAGATATTATTTTCGAATATAGAAGTCACTTAATAATATCTTATAACTATAACATAGCCAGTGTTCCCAAAGTAGCTGCTACTCTTATAAGTGAGCTTTCCCTTCATAATTCTGGTTTGGGCACTAAAAAAACTGATTTAAGCAAGCACTTTTTCTCTGGAGAATCTGCTCCCTAGTCGCTGATTTAAAAAAAAAAAAATCCATGAATGAGTTCATGAATCCTGATAAAGTAGTTGATTGAGTCTAGATACTATGCTTGAGTTTTTCCTTGGTAGATTTTAAAACAATAGGAAAGGAGGTGCTTTTCTCTTTTTTTAAGAAGAAGTATAGAATGAAGTAGGGAAGTCTGGTTGCAAGGCTGCACTAGCAGTGCTTTTCCCAAGGCCAATTTCTGCACGTGTAAGAATTAACAAATCATCTGGGCTTGGTAGCTCGGGCCTACTTTGAGGCCAGTCTGGGAAATATAGAGAGACTTCTTATCTAAAAAAATAAAATAAAATAAATTAGTCAAGAGGAATGGTGTGTGCCTATAGTCCCAGCTACATGGGAGCTTGCAGTGGGAGGACTGCTGAGCCCAGGAGTGGGAGGCTGCAGTGTGCTATGATTGTGCCTGCAATTGTGCCACTGCACCATAGCCTGGGCAACATAGTGAGACCCCCATCTCTTAAGGCAGAGGGGAGAATGAAATCATTCAGCAAATACAAAGCTTTGCCTGTGTGACTTCTTTGACAGAAAAAGGCTTTATAACACTCCCTTTCAAAGGCTTTCTCTGGTTAAGACTGTTGAATGCTTTCTGATGCAAAGTTCATGATACATATGCAATGAAATGACAACAACAAAAAAGGTTTACTAGCAGACCACTTACACTTATCCACAGATTTGAAATGAAAGAACCAAAGATTCATAGCTTCAGATCTAGAAAATCAAAGTGCAGAACTAAACACTGACTATAAATCAGAAATCTGTACTACTGAGCCCAGCTAACAAAGAACTGGGTATAGAATTTGCTCTTTTGGTGTTACTTCTTAGAGACATGTGTTACTAGTAAAGTACTAATATAGTACAGAGAATTATATCAGAAAGAAGAATATAGAATTATTCATAAAGGAAGCATAAGCACTGTATAATTAAGCTACTCTAAGTATAACTATGTATATACTACACATTTCTTAAATTATCTCAGATGGGATTCTCAGATTTTCTTATGGTATCAATGTTTAGTTATAGAGTTTATATACTTATGGGTATGAATAACTATTTCAAGGTTTTAATACCTCTAAAAACAGTATTTCTGAAAATGTATTAACATATTTTCCAATACGAATTGTTAATTTTTCAGAAGAAAAAATTTAATGGTGTTATCATCTCAAGATCTGGTACATATTGATGTCATACAGATATGAGCTAAATTGTCTTTTTAAAGTTTCTGTTTAAGATGAGTAGGTGGCCAGGTGTGGAGTTTCACACCTGTAATCCTAGTACTTTGGGAGGCCGAGGCAGGTGGATTGCTTAAGCTCAGAAGTTCAAGACAAGCCTAAGAAAGAGTGAGACCCCGTCTCTACTAAAAATTGAAAAACTAGCCGGGCATGGGGGCTGAGGAAGAAGGATCACTTGAACTCAGGAGTTTGAGGTGATTGTGAGCTATGATGACAACACGGCCCTCAACCCAGGGCAGTGGAGTAAAACTCTATCTCAAGAAGACTCTAAGTTATTTACTTTTAAAAATCTATTAACAAACCTATAAAATGGCAAAAAAAAAAAAAGGAAATAATTGCTAATTTGGTGCAAAAAAGTGGCTGGGAAATGAGCACATTATGAACAATAAAGAGCACATTATGATAGAAAAAATTATTGGAAAGAAAATTTTAAAACTGAGAAGGGAAAGGATCGGCAAACTCCTACAGTAGTTGGGAGGGATCAAAGCCAGCCAGACCTGGGCAGTGCCTGTTGCTCAAAGGAGTAGGGTGCTGGCCCCATATACCAGAGGTGGCAGGTTCAAACCAGGCCTGGGCCAAAAATTGCAAAAAAAAAAAAAAAAAAAAAAGCCAGCCAGACCTGACATGCTTTTCTACCAACTAGCTACTGATTTATTTCTAAATTGTCAAATGTCTTGGCATGTTTTTTGCCATCAAGAATACTGTGTATTTTCTTCCTAAGATTTACAAGATATAAATTATGTGTATATGTCTTCAGATATCACATTATCAACTTTAACTCAAGTAGTCACAGAATAACTAAAAAGATATATTTAGTTTAATAAGGAGAAATTAATTCATTTAAGGTCATTCAGGAGTCTTGATTTTCCTCATTTTTCTTTCTCAGACAGTAATACATGTTGGCACTCTGACATGGAAAGAATAAGAGACAGAAAAAAATAGTTAAATTTCCTTCTTCCTTGTTTTAAATAAGTAAAAACAATTTAGTTTTGGAAAAGACTGAAAATACTAATTAAAATAGTCTGAAATAAAAAAATTGTTGATTATAAGCTGTCTCAATATATTAAAATTTAAATTTAAAGGGAGGCTATAAAAAGTTTGTCCACTAGAAAAAGTTTTTAAATGAAGAAAGAAAGTTGTTAACAATTTTTAATTTTATATTTGGGTCATAGTTTTGTAGAGCTAGTGAAAATAATAATTTCTTCTTTTCGTTATTAAAAAAACTCAATAATTGGACATTTTGGCAAAAGATTCTCTGCATTTAGCGTTCCTCTGTCTTTCTACAGTCATGGAAAAGATCATTATGCAATGAGCAAAGCTTCTTTTCTGGAAGAAAAAAGGATAGCTTTATTGCTGAAAACATTGGGCTATTATTCTAAACATTCCTAGTATTTTTGAGGGCAAATAGTCTGAAATATGTTTAGAGGAAATCCAAATTCAGACAGAAATTCTTTTTTTTTTCCCCCTTCAGAAACAGAGGACAGTTTATTCCTCACAGCAATAGCAGTAGTGAGTATCATTTGTACGGTGTCCTCAAACTACAATTCCCAAGGGTAATGCAAAGAGCCAGTAATGCCGTCATTGAAGTGAGTTGTTACAGAAGATCCCCAAACTCAGAGAATCCAGACTTTTTTTTTTTTCTATAATGGTTGGTGAGTCTAACTGATCTTTGCCTAGGAGGTAGGCTTAAGTTTTGTTGTACCGGACAGTTAGTAAATCTGTTCTTTACTCCAGAGGAAAGTATCATCTCTATTTCCCAAGATTCTTTGCAA